TCTATTCATCAAGGCACAATACTCTCCCCAGTTCATTTTCTCATTCCCATGTCTGTCACAGACAGAAATAAATCATAGCGCCGTATAATCTTTTGCAGACGATATTAGAATTTGTATTAGTGGCATCCACCGAGGACACGGTAAATCTCGTAGTTGATATAAGCTACGTTTTCCAGTGACCCATAGAAAACAATTCGATCTTCATCCAAAAAAAAACTCAGTAAAATCCACTATGGAAAAAAATAGGAAATGAAAAACTGCAAACGTAGTATAAAACAAACTCATATCACTGGGTACAGTGAAAGAATAACAGGGAGGGGGTGATTTAGGAAAGATAATGTCAGAAGATACCCATTCAAGGCTCACAATAAAGTTTTTTAACAAAAACATTTACGGAAAATGATAGACTGAATAACTATGACTTTCTTAATAAGAGATGCCAAGTTTAAGGTAATACTAGTAAATTTAAGTCACTTGTTCTCTCTAGACGGGAAATTTTTGCTATACACCAACAGCCCTTTTTAAGGCAGGCGTTCAATGAGATCTGGAAAATGTACAGAAACTGCCACTACACGTTAAAATTCAATCAAACACCTAAATTATTGGTTACACTTGAAATCCATCAAACTGTACTCACTGGAACGTAGGCGAGAAATAGACATGATAATTTACACCAGGAAAATTGTGGGGGGATTATTTTACAACTCTGCACATTAAAATTTCACTCCCTACGAAATAATCCCCCGTGAAAAGCAAGGGTAAGCAAGAGGTAACAAAATGTGTAATGGAACGAAAAACTTTTTAAAACAGATTTCTTACTACATAAGAGGAATTACCAACAAACCCCCAGCTGTTTCCAAGAACGAATTGGATGAATTCTTCAAGTCGGTTCCTGATTAACCGGGCTGTGGTGCATACGTTGGATTGCATACGTTTCCCGCACCAACAGCCTGGTTGATCAGAACACAGAACAGTTTAAGTAGCAGTAAGAGAGTAAGGTGTAGAGTGGGCTACAGACATACCAGAGGCGACCTAGTTAATGACTCTAAAGTATGACTGTGCTAATGGCTCTGAGTGCCAGTTTTAATGGACATTCTGGTGTAATTTGAGAGTAGCTGCTGGCTTGTGGGAATGGATTCTGGCACTTGTGGAATTTCCGCAAAGCCCTCGTGTCTGGGAACATTGCCTCTGAAGAAACGTTAGAGTGCCCGGAGGCAGGCGATTGTTGTTGTTGCTGCTGCTGCAGTTTTTGTGACTCTTGTGCTGTTATATTCACGGGGAAGCGCTAAATCAGTACGGGTCATACAGATCCCAAGGGGAATGGGTGGTGATTAGAAGTAATCCAAGAAAGTGGACGGCAGTTCCAATTCCCTTTGATCAAGGGGCCATTCAGCAGCATCAAGGCACCCCAGGAGGTGGATTTAATTCAATTAGAAGCCAGTGACTGAGGAGGCAGGAACGCTCCTTGTTGCAGTGAGAGAGACAAGACACAGACAAGGTCTGTCTCTTGAGGAAGAGACATGGCAGGTTTCAAGGCAGAGAGTAGGCATGATACAATTTTGTAGGTTGAGAGGAGGAACGATACAATTATAAAGGCAGAAAGGAGGTGTGAGGGAAAAGTCATTCAAATGGAGGTGTGGTTGTTCAGACACCCTAGGAACCGCTAGTATATCACCGCCCACACTGCCATCTAGCGGGCCGCTGCAAAACATCAGATTTCCTTGGGTCTGGGTCCTTTAAGTTTCTACTGGTAGTATTAATCTTACCTGGTGTGGGCTGAAGTCTGGAGAATCACTTCACGTCTACTCTTCTCCTGATCAGGTAAGGTGATCTACCAGTAGTATTTCATATCTTTGTTACTGTTAACCTGGTTACCAGTAATGACATTGAAGAAATTTACGACCCTTTGTCTTTCTTCAATGATACACTTAATAACCATCATGTAACCAGTTTTTTTTTTTTTCATTATCAGCTCTGGTGTCGGCTTGATCATCCAGAGTAGACGCTAGATTTACTGGAGCAAGAATCCAGTGAATGGAACATAGCGACTCTCATGTCTCTTTGATATCTGGAGTGGAATACTACGAACCAGTATTGACAGGAGTTCCTGAACATCGGACTAACACCGCCTACCCAGGATAACCAACATCAGTTCTTCTAAACATCTAAGAAGATCTCCTGGATTTAGAAGATTTCCAGTCTTTAGATCACACATGAACCAAAGGCATCCATTGTTGTTTTTATTTTACAGCAAAATCAGTACTTTCATAAAGCAAAAACAAATATATTTATATCAAGTGTTTCAATTATTCATTTTTCATTTTTCAATACTTCTGTTCACGCAGAAGACGTTCCCCTGACAGAGGCATGAAATAATTATGTAGGTAGCGAGGAGGCATGATACAGTTTTGAAGGTAGATAGGAGGCATGATACAATTTTGAAGGTTGAGAGGAGGCATGATATAGTTTTGAAGGTAGATAGGAGGCATGATACAGTTTTGAAGGTTGAGAGGAGGCATGATACAATTCTGAAGGTAGAGAGGAGGCATGATACAATTCTGAAGGTAGAGAGGAGGCATGATACAATTTTAAAGGTTAAGAAGAGGCATGATGCAATTTTGTAGGTAGAGAGGAGGCATGATACAATTTTGTAGGAAGAGAGGAGGCGTGACATAATTTTAAAGGCAGAGAGGAGGCATGATACAATTTTGAAGGTAGATAGGAGGCATGATACAATTTTGAAGGTAGAGAGGAGACATGATACAATTTTAAAGGTTAAGAAGAGTCATGATACAATTTTTGAAGGTAGAGAGGAGGCATGATACAATATTGAAGGCTGATAGGAGACATGATACAATTTTGAAGGTAGAGAGGAGGCATGATACAATATTAAAGGTTGAGAGGAGGCATGATACAATATTAAAGGTTAAGAAGAGGCATGATGCAATTTTTTAGGTAGACAGGAGGCATGATACAATTTTGAAGGTTGAGAAGAGGCATGAAACAATTTTGGAGGTAGAGAGGAGGCATTATGCAATTTTGTAGGTAGAGAGGAGGCATGATAGAATTTTAAAGGTTGAGAGGAGGCATGATACAATTTTAAAGGTTGAGAGGAGGCATGATACAATTTTAAAGGTTGAGAGGAGGCATGATACAATTTTAAAGGTAGAGAGGAGGCATGATACAATTTTGAAGGTTGAGAGGAGGCATGATACAATTTTGAAGGTTGAGAGGAGGCATAATACAATTTTAAAGGTAGAGAGGAGGCATGATAGAATTTTAAAGGTTGAGAGGAGGCATGATACAATTTTAAAGGCAGAGAGGAGGCATGATACAATTTTGAAGGTTGAGAGGAGGCATGATGCAATTTTGAAGGTTGAGAGGAGGCATAATACAATTTTAAAGGTTGAGGGAGGCATGATACAATTTTGAAGGTTGAGAGGAGGCATACTACAATTTTAAAGGTTGAGGGAGGCATGATACAATTTTGAAGGTTGAGGGAGGCATGATACAATTTTGAAGGTTGAGGGAGGCATGATACAATTTTGAAGGTTGAGGGAGGCATGATACAATTTTGAAGGTTGAGAGGAGGCATACTACAATTTTAAAGGTTGAGGGAGGCATGATACAATTTTGAAGGTTGGGGGAGGCATGATACAATTTTGAAGGTTGAGGGAGGCATGATACAATTTTGAAGGTTGGGGGAGGCATGATACAATTTTGAAGGTTGAGGGAGGCATGATACAATTTTGAAGGTTGAGGGAGGCATGATACAATTTTGAAGGTTGAGGGAGGCATGATACAATTTTGAAGGTTAGGGAGGCATGATACAATTTTTGAAGGTTGAGGGAGGCATGATACAATTTTGAAGGTTGAGGGAGGCATGATACAATTTTGAAGGTTGAGGGAGGCATGATACAATTTTGAAGGTTGAGGGAGGCATGATACAATTTTCACTAATTCTGTAATTCATAGTTAAATACAATGCATGATATATATTCCCGTAATTAATCTCTCAGGAACAAAGTGAACGAGAACATACGAAACTAAATGCCGTATATTAGAGTACCCTTGATATTCCTTTGATGATCTGCGAGTTTTTTTTTTACTCTCGGAGCCCGGCCATGGGCCAGGCTCACTCATATTCAACATAACATGATTTTTTCATGTTTTTTAATCAGCCTTATTTTTGTATTTAGACAGCGTAATCTTGTTTTATTTCCATCGGTGTATGAATCACACACATGTGCAACATACAGACGTATCACCATCCAGTGGCCTTATCAATACAAGGACATAATACATATTAAAAGTATACATATCAACGCACTACACATTTTTATCTTTTGTTAGGTATTATGTTTTTTGTATTGCAGTAAAAAATCCACTGGTTGCACATGTGTTTAAGTCGTTATCTTCTCGGTATTGTGTATCATTCATGTACAATTCCATCGGTTCTTAGAATAGCGACGAAGATAGCAAGTTGATCCGGTTATTGTTGCTGAGGTAAATATGAAAAATTTAGTAAATAATACTGAGTTAAGGTTTCGGTGAGGGATACAACTGACCACTTACCGAGACACAATAAACTTCTAGTCCCCTTCAAAGGCTTCGAGTTCATGGTTTACATGTACACAGAAAACTGTATACACAATTTTAAACACTACACTGGATACACAATATGGAAAACATCAAACTTAATACACAATACAGAACACACCGAACTTGTGATATAAACAGAACACATTAAACTTAATTCTATGTAACTCTCAACACACAAAACTGAACATACAATACTGATCGCAAGAAACTAAACATACAATAATGGATACACAATACAATACACACCAAACTGAATAAACAGTATTTAAACGACAAAACTGAGCACATAATACAAGGCAAGCAATTGCCGGTGGTCTGCCTCACTAGAGTCCACCAACACTGCTCATCTGTTATGCTAGTGAGTATAACAGAGAGAACCTCCATCCCGGGGTACTTACACTTCATCCCTGATGGAGTCGATAGAGTCCTTAAGGTTCTCCAAGTAACCTTTGACCTGGCTGAGCATGGCCAGGCGCATGCGTGGTGACCCCATAGCCCCGCCACTCTCTTCTTCACCCATGACCGTCGTCAGAGAAGTTGATAAACTCGTTGAATTAGAGGAAAAAGTGGTAGGGGGAGGGGGTGAGGAGAGTGACGAATGCTTGCGACACACTTCAGAAGCAACCACTACGAAATTTAATATATATATACATATATATATATATATATATAAGTTTTGCGAGGAAATATCAGGATGATTATATTAAATGAACTGTGTGAAGGTCTCGTGTACTCGTGAGCAGGTGTTTGTAGCTGCAAGGAGCATTTGCTACCATAGATCGTTGGTTTCTTTTTCTCACAGATGTAACATGAAAAGACGAATCTAAAATACTATCATGACATTAGAATCAGTTCTATTATTTTGCGTGATTATAAAAGCGTGTTTGTCTAGATGAAGTGTACGAAGGATGAATCAAGTATTCAGAGTACAAATCAATCATTCGGAAGTTGCATCAAGTGTACGGAGGGTTGATCAAGTGAAGGAAAGTCAGTAATTACCAGGAGATATACTACCCAGAAAATGAGTCTGCTCTTGTGCCTGGATTAATTTCTACACACTATCGGGTGTCAAGTTCATCACTGATTTCTATATAAAGAAGTTCTTTTGTATATCTAGTCGCGGCATCAGTGATGTACATACATGCTCATCACTTGTAAGTCAGTTTGTCGAGTGAGGGTTTTATGTCCAATAATACATCAAGTTTATGCGTACTGGACCTTCAGCTTCGTCGTTTGCACTGTAGGAACTTCTTAGCGAGTAGTTGTGGTCGGAACATACAGAAAACGCTTTAGTATGTTTTCAATGTTTATGTAGAGCAAGTAGGGTAAATTTAGATTGAGCGGGTCTGCCAATTAGCGATGTGCTTAAGCTTCTTCTCACACTCGCTAGCTAGGAAATTCTTAGATTCAAGCTGAAGACGAGGCTACAGTTGTAGTGTAGCAAGCAGGCAGTGGTCTATCGGTATCTGAAAGCCTACTTGACTTGAAAGGACAAGCCAACCTGCGCGTGTGATGAACGGTGTGTGTGTGGCACGTGAGCGTGGGCGTCTTGTGTGTATAGGGGCTTTTTTTGTGTGCGTGTAAATGTGTGCACGCAAGCGTCGCGTGAGGAAGGCGTATATGATTAGTGGGCTGTGTGTGTGTGTGTGTGTGTGTGTGTGTGTACAGAGTGTGTGATGGTATGCAGGAGGCTAGGAGTGGGGTGCGGGAGTAGTCATCACAATGATAGTGGTTGTGAAGCTAGCAGTGACGGGGATACCCTTCCTTCCTCCTTGCGTGAGCTTTAAAGTAGCTATCTACTTCTCGCTACTCTCAATCACCTGTAGATGCATTTGGCGTCCTATCATTCCTTCTTCAAGGCACTCAGTTCTCTATTTTACGTCACTCTTATTTGAACATTTAGAAATAAAAGGCAAAAACTTCAAGTTTCCAACAGTTACTAATCGCTCTTCAGTTTATTCGGATTTGTCGTGATTCATATAGGGGTTGGCACAGTAAGGACGGGACGGGTTGCTGCCGCTGACTCATGTACCACAGTCATCAGGTCACAGAGTCGCTGACTCACGCACCCCAGTCATCAGGTCGCACTGCCGGGAAAATAAGTCGCGACTTCTATCGTGAAAGTTCTTTAAATCATGTTATTGTTATGCTAACTTGTCATCTCTTCACTGTTTGAAAGTACTGATGATTGCTTTTAGCTGACCTTTACATGCTCGTCTTGTCGAGTGAGTTACGAAGTCAGCTTGTTGAGTCAGTTCTAGCACTTGTCAAGTGATTCATGTAGGAAGCTGGTTTATCAAGATTATTGTTTAGTGAAAGGCGACGAGGACCAAAAGCGTTGATTAACAACACTAACTCACAATTTAAGTGATTCAGTAGACTTTTTATACACAAATTATTGTCCCTGGAAGTCCCAAAGTAACTCGGTACAGTATACGTACACAGCTCTGCAATCAATATTATATAAATTAATATGTGGTTGACATGGAAAAGTTACCTCCGCACACGCTGAGAAAGGTGTTGCCTTGTGTTATCAGGTCAATGGGAATATTTAGTAGAGACAGGAAGCGTGGTATAGACAGAGAACAAGACAGTGCTACACCAGTGAAAGGGCATCCGTAACTCGTATATTGTTGCCGTTGTTCCTTTGTTTTTGTTTGAAGTAGAGCAGAGTCAGAAGACTCTAAAACTAACTGAGGGGCGACGAGACACTACCTGTCGGAGATATCACAATACAAGTCCAGAAAAAGGCCGACGTGTTGATATGCTTGAGATATGTGAGTAGGCATTGAGAGCTGAGTCTTGAGGTCACAAGGCAGATTTGATCATACAGAGAATTTCGTTGTTTTCCATTAAAGTTACTGTTGTACTTTCCTAAATAAAAAAAACTAAAATAAACCGTGGGGAACACATCTTTCTGTATAAGACTTGTGGTGTGAGCTCCACCAAACCCTCCTTCCAACCCATCGAATCTGACTGAGGGAGAAGTGTGCTGGTTCAAAGTCAAATATCGCGCCGAGTACAAGCTCCGCCTCGGTGTGGCAGCGGCCAGTAGCGTGCCTGAATCTCCCAGGATCACTTTGTTGTCAGCCAATGGGCTCTCATTCCTCAGGGATCAATAGATTGCGTATATTATGACTTCGCGTGTCCATGGTTAGTGTTTACTATGTACTATGTAATGCACATTTCCGGGTCGTGGAAGCTAAATCACCCTAAAATGTACACTGTTGGGCAGGCCAACTATCCCGAGCACAAATAACTCGCAAGCAGCAAAGGTGAGGACTCTTGCGGCCCCGCCGCCGCGCGTCCGAAAACTGGTAAGAGCTTTGAGCCGAGGCCAGAACCGGAAGAGGACGCCGGAACAACCGAGTGTCTGAGATTCCTTGCAAGGGGGAAGCGTTCATTAGTGGTCGCACGTCAGTATGCACGCACGTTGTTGTCCCCCCACTACCAAACCAGTGCCCCCTGTACTCTCCACACACACCATAACAGTTGGACAGTTGAATGATAGCTCTAGGCCTTTCTTGATACAATCAACACACTAGGAGTTTGCAATGTTGCAGAAAAGACGAGAATATCCAAGTAAATACGATGATATGGAGCGCCTTTGCCCCAGCAAAGGCGCTCCATATCATCGTATTTGTGTAAGCAATAAATCTGAAAAAATCAGCATTGGTAAATAAGACACATAAGCAACATTTAGGCAACTTTATTCCGAAACGTTTCGCCTACACAGTAGACTTCTTCAGTCGAGTACAGAAAGTAGGCAGGAGCAGTAGAGATGTGAAGACGATGTAATCAATCCATCACCCTTGAAGCCGTAGATTTGAGGTTGTCAGTCCCTCAGCCTGGAGAAGTTCTGTTCCAAAGTCAGACTTTGGAACAGAACTTCTCCAGGCTGAGGGACTGACAACCTCAAATCTACGGCTTCAAGGGTGATGGACTGATTACATCGTCTTCACATCTCTACTGCTCCTGCCTACTTTCTGTACTGGACTGAAGAAGTCTACTGTGTAGGCGAAACGTTTCGGAATAAAGTTGCCTAAATGTTGCCTATGTGTCTTATCTACCAACCTGTCGGTATTGTATACCATTTGATAGTCAAAATCAGCATTATCATAACGCAAAAATTTTTTATATCAAGTGTTTCAGTTAAGAATAAAAAAAAATTAAACTGTACTATGATATGTTTAGTAAAGCAATATACAACATATTAGGTTCGTTAGAGCAAGGTTAGGCTAGGTCTTAAGTTAGGCTTGGTGCAAAATTAAAATTTTTACATCGTTTTCAATGAAAAAATACCTATGAATACGTAAAGAAAATTTTGGAAAATTCCTTTTTTTTTTTTTACGGCAGTTCGGCAGTTTGGTTTATTAAGCACCACACACACACACACACACACACACACACACACACACACACACACACACACACACACACACACAAACCACTCACACATACACACAAACACACACACACACAGAGAAGAGAGAGAGAGAGAGAGAGAGAGAGATGGGTAGACTGCATTTTCTTCGACTGTAAGAAGGCTTTCGATACAGTACCACACAAGAGACTGGTTGAAAAGTTAGAGGAGCACGCAGGAGTAGCAGGGAAAGCACTGCAATGGATCAGGGAATACCTGACAGGAGGGAAACAACGTGTGCTGGTACACGACGAGGTGTCAGAGTGGGTGCATGAGTCGACTGGGGTTCCACATGGTCAGTCCTTGGTCCGGTGCTGTTTCTAGTATATGTAAATGACATGACAGAAGGAATAGACTCAGAAGTGTTCCTGTTTGCAGACGATGTGAAGCTAATGAGAAAAATACAAGTGGACAAGGATCAAGTAAGCCTGCAAGGAGATCTGGATAGGCTGCAAGCCTGGCCCAACAAACAGCTCCTGGAATTTAACTCCAGCAAGTGCAAAGTCATGAAGTTTGGGGAAGGACAAAGAAGACCGCAAACAGAGTACTGCCTAAAAGTATTATTATTATTATTATTATTATAATCAAAGAACCTACAAAGAAAGGTTAAGGAAATCAGCCTGACGGCACTGGAGGACAAGAGGGCTCGGGGAGGCATGATAACTGCATACAAAATACTGCGAGGAATTGACAAGGTGGACAGAGACAGGATGTTCCGGAGACAGGACACAGAAATAAAGGATCACAATTGGAAGTTGAAGACTCAGATGAGTCAAAGGGATGTTAGGAAGTATTTCTTTAGTCATAGAGTTGTCAGGAAGTGGAATAGTCTGGCAAGTGACGTAGTGGAGGCAGGAACCATAAATAGTTTAAAGATGATGTTTAATTAATAAAGCTCATGGAGCAGGGAGAGTAGTAGCGATCAGTGACGAGGCGGTGCCAGGAGCTATGAATAGACGCCTGCAACCACAAACAAGCGAGTACAAATAGGTGAGTACACCTAAGAATAGCGTTTCGACATCTAAGTAAGGAATCATTCACGACACTCTTCACTGTGTACGTCAGGCACCCTTTGGAGTATGCAACACTAGTATGGAATCCTCATCTGGTCAAAATATTGGAGAAGTGCA